TGCTCCCGGTGCCTCTGGTCTGCTGGGGACCATCTCCAGCAGACCAGGGACACCGGGAGCAAAGGAGGCGGAGGGGCGCTGGGGTATAAGATGAAACCCTATCTTTTAATTAAAAAGATAGGGGGTCGTCTTATACGCCCAGTCGCCCTATACGCCGGAAAATACGGTATTTTGCTCGCTGCCTATTATTCAAACAGATAGCTCACATTGGCCAGAAACAGGCAAATGGGAGGTGCAAGATTAAGCTGGGGTGGGATCAGTGTGTGAAGCCTCTCCCTCCTCGCCTGGGCTCTTATTTGTTCAAAGACAAACAGGGCCCTCCAATACGTTTTTCTGAGTGGTGAGGCTTCTGCTTGCACCAGCACACTGGATGTAGAAGCTTAGCAGGCTGGATCTGGTCCATAGGCCATATTTTACCCAGCCCTGGCATAATTTATTAGTACTAGGTAGGGCCCCATAAATCCTAAGGACAGCCTGTTTGCTGTCAAGTGTAGTGCCCTTTCTTGTCTCTGGGTATGTCTACACTACCCGCCTAGTTCGAACTAGGAGGGTAATGTAGGCATACCGCACTTGCAAATGAAGCCCGGGATTTGAATTTCCTGGGCTTCATTTGCATAAAGCCGGCCAGAGCCATTTTTAAATGTCGGCAGTTCGAACCCCGTGCCGCGCGGCTACACACGGCACGGAGTAGCTAGTTCGGATTAGGCTTCCTAATCCGAACTAGCTGTACGCCTCATTCCACGAGGAGTACAGCTAGTTCGGATTAGGAAGCCTAATCCGAACTAGCTACTCCATGCCGCGTGTAGCCGCGTGGCACGGGGTTCAAACTGCCGGCATTTAAAAATGGCGCCGGCCGGCTTTATGCAAATGAAGCCCGGAAAATTCAAATTCCCGGACTTCATTTGCAAGTGCGGTATGCCTACATTACCCCGCTAGTTCGAACTAGCAGGGTAGTGTAAACATACCCTCTGTGAGTTTACCCCTCAGTTCTTGCCCTTAACTGTCTTGGGATGGACTGTTGTGATTCTTTTCTTAGAATAGGATCAAAGTATATTGTTCTTTGTTACCCACTTTTATCATACTGCAGGTCTGACTGGGTTTCAGGTACCTGCATTTCCTCCCTCTGACAACTCGTGGCCTGTGAAATTGACTAACAGCCTTTCTAATGTATTTTATTTAGCAGTTGGAACAAAGCATTAGCGAACATGATTTTAAAACAACAAACAGCTAAATGCACAGTTAGTCTCAGCAAAACATATGTTTCACTAGTAGCTCAATTTGATGGGCTTTCCTCTTGAGTTACAGGTTAAGCTGTGTACCAACAAACATTTTGAGACAGCAAGATATCTCCTGGGACACCAGCCGGGTCTCAGTTCATCTCTGAAAGTATATCTGCGCTGCACAGTTAAACCAGGTTCTTAACACAGCCCTCCCCTACCTGCCCCATCATCCACACATAAAACCCTCTGACCAGTGTTTGGAGATGCTTTTAGATCTGAGTAGCTCACTCAGCTCAGGTTGTGGGTTAGAGCCTGAGCTCCAGGCTAACTCAGGCTGGAGCCTGCCAACTCACCAATGAGGACAGACAGATTCTCCCACCTCTGAAACAATTGATTGGAGCATCTCAGCACAAAGAACTGTGGCATACACCTCCTGGACATACATGGATGTATGCAGAAACACTGAGGACATGGTAATTTGGGTGTGACTTTTCTGTGGGGAGTACTTGCAATCTGGTTAAGGTAACCCTATGTGTACAAACTCAGGTGTCAATCATGTGGTTTAACTGCTCAGCCTACACCTGGAGTATGTTTGCACTAGAGTTGGAAGGCATAATTTCTAGCTTGACTAGACATACCCACACTAGCTGATCAAGTTAACAAAGTAAAAATAGAAGTGTAGCTGCAGCAGATTGCTCAGGAGAGGGTACTTTTCCAGAATATGTTCCAGTCCTAGTGTCTTGGGATGTGATGCTACTCAGGTTGACTAATCCCTCCCATCATTTGAGTTGCTGCATCTACACTTCTATTTTTAGCATGCTAGCTTGACCAGAGAGCTGCATGGATATTCTACCTGAGCTGGAAATTACATCTCCAGCTCTAGTGTAGATTTACCTGTGCAGGCTGAGAGTCTGTTGTCTCTTCCTGAGAAAACTGGTTTGTTTGTCTACTTGTTTGTTTGCTTTTGAGCTGCCACACTTCTTATGCTTATCTGGGCCACCAGAGGGAAGATCTTTCTTCTGCCACTGGCTGTTTTTTTCCCACTTGACCAGAGCAGTGGCTCTCAACCTTTTCAGACAATTGCACCCCTTTCATGAATCTGGTTTGTCCTGCATACCCCCAACTTTTACCTCACTTCAATGGCACTGACAGCCTCTTTGGGGCCCCAGGAAAGGTATGGATGGAAGCACCATGCTCCTGAAAGAGAAGGTCATTCTGGCAGAAGAGGCAGGGACGGGTGCAGCCAGCCCTTAATGCCACCCAAGTGTAATGCCCCTTCCCCCCCAGCCCTCAGAGCTGAGATGTAAAGGGCCCAGGGCTGTGGATGCTGTCACTGCCACAGTAGCAGCAGTCAGAAGCCCCAGGCCCCTTTGAATCACCAGGTCCTGAGGCAACTGCCCCCTTCCTCTGTCCCCCCACATTGGTGGGCTAGCCTCACTTAAAACATACTACTTGCTTATAAAATCTGACATAAAAATACAAAAGTGTCAAAACACTGTATTAGGGTACATCTACACTAGCCCCCTAGTTCGAACTAGGGAGGCTAATGAGGATGACCGAAATTGCTAATGAAGTACGGAATTTATATATTCCATGCTTGATTAGCATATTCCTGGCCAGTCACCCTTTTGGAAACTGACTAGGCCAAAGTAACTGCCTGCGTCTACATGCAACAGAGAAGCGGTATTCTGAGATAGACCCTTAGTTCGAATTAACTGTTACTCCTTGTGGAATGAGGTTTAACAGTTAATTTGAACTAAGGGGTTTATCTCAGAATCCCGCTTCTCTGCCGTGTGTAGACGCGGGCAGTTACTTTGGGCTAGTCAGTTTCCAAAATGGAGACTGGCTGGGAATATGCTAACCAAGCACAGGATATTTAAATCCCGCGCTTCATTAGCAATTTCGGTCATCCTCATTAGCCTCCCTAGTTAGCACTAGGGGGCTAGTGTAGATGTACCCTTGCTGAAAAATTACTTACTCTCTTTTTTACCATATAATTATAAAATAAATCAACTAGAATATAAATATTGTGCTTACATTTGTGCTCAGTGTATAATATGTAGAACAGTATAAACAAACCATTGCATTAAATTTTAGTTTGTACTGACGTCACTAGTACTTTTAATGTACACTGTTGTAAAACTAGGCAAATATCTATATGAGTTGATGTACCCATTGAAAGTATTCTCTGTGTATCCCCAGGGGTATGTGTACTCCTGGTTGAGAACCACTTGGCCAAAGCATACATCTAGGAATACGCCATTATAGTGGTTCCTGCATTGTTAGGGTAGTTAGACCCAATTCAGTCTTAATGAATTGTAATCACCCGTGATTACTTGTGTTATGACTGTGTGTATGAATACTGTGTGATCCTGGCTGTTGGACTAACATACATAGCACACCAATCACAGTTTGGGATACAAATCAATAGTCATTTTAGAGCACCTCCCACATTTATCACACCATTCTCAAAAATGACCTTGCTTAAACTGCTGTTGTTATATTAATATTATGAGCAGTGTCAACAATGTTCTGCAAACATTGTCTGAGCCTGCTCTTCCTCTCATTAAAATCAATGGAAATTTGGAACTGACTTCAAGATTTAGTTAGTTCCTTCTGTCATGTCAGCAGAAAGAACCTTATAGAAGATAGTTTAGTTTTGAAGGTGCCACAAGAGTAGTGACTATTGTTTTGTTTTTAATTTCTCTGCAACAGAGTTATAGATTCATAACTTAAAATATGTTGAGATTACTTCCTGCATATTGTAACAATCTTGTCATGGCAAATGTTGGACAAGACAATTATCAGATATTTTTTCCATATCTATATTCTATAATGAGGGTGTGAAGATCCTGAAGACCTAAAATTCTGTTTTATTTAGATTATCAATATAGAACATATAAATAAATCAAATGTACTTTCTCTTTTTCTAGGAATGCAGTTGAAGAAAACAAAAAATTATATGCTATTTATGATACAAGGTAAGTAATGAACAATAACTTCTAATTGCCATTATGTTCTTTAAATGGAACATTGACCCTTTTAAAATGCTATACATCTTTATGAACACATACTTAGAAAGCTACTTATTTTGAGCCACATAATAATCTTTACATTAAGGTAGAAAATATTTCAGATCCTTGTGTGTGTATATCTATTCATTTAGGCACCAACTCACATACATCCCTAACAATAATTTCATTTTAAAAATATATTTATGTGGACAAACTCATCCTAGGTATATTTTTGATTATTTGCAGTGGATGTATATATACTAATTTCAATAGCTATATTAAAGAAGAATTTGGCACACTATCCAAACTTAGAGGCTTGATTTTGGGCAGTCAACTTCCTTTCCTGTCACTCATGCTCAGAATGCATCAAAAACGCTGTTGGCATTATTGGTATGAAAGGGAAGAGCTATCTGGTACAGCCAGGGAACCTATCAGGGTCAGGTGAGAATGGGGGTGAGGGTTTATTCCTGAAATTCAAGTGTTCAATAGAACTTCCATAGGCATCAATAGGGGGTGTGTCTGGACAGGGTGCAAGTGTGGACACAGTCTCCTCATAGACATCTTTCCATATTCTTCAGACACTGAAAATATTGCTTACAGACTCCTTCCTTGTGTTCCACTGTCTGTGAAAGCCATACCTTTTCATAAGTGTGGCCAGATCTACATTATGGTGCTATGTCGAACTAAGATAGACAACTCCAGCCACATGAATAGTATAGCTGGAATCAATGTACCTTAGTTTGTGTTACTCCCACTAAGGGGGGGAGGGACGGTTGATGGGAGAACTCTCTGGTCAACTCCTCTTACTCTTCTTGATCTGCTGGAGAACTAGAATTGATAGGCGGACGATTTAGCAGGTCTTTACTAGACCTGATAAATTAACACCCAAGAGCTAGATCCCCACATTGCTGATCTCCTGGTAAGTATAGACGAGGCCTAAGAAATTGTGTACAGGACAGCAAAAAAGGCTTACAGCCATCTGTCATTTATTTTTTTTGTTACCCTTTATTATCATCTTCAGAACTCTTCTTACTCTTACTAAGTCAGAATTGATGCCAAATCATTGAAGTTTTTTGCTTTTGTTTTGTTTTGTTTTGAGTCTTTGCACTTTCTCGTTGATCAGGAAAAACTCAAAAGGACATTTGTCCAAAAAAAATCAGCACAAGCTTATGTCTCTTTGTTTGTTTTAGCTAGTCCTTATATAAATGCTACTACTGTATTAAAGTTAGAGTTACCAGTAATCAGCTTGACCTTTTCTGCAGATATATGTAACATTCAATATCAACAAATCAAATAACAAGCCCTTTTCTATTTTGTTCTGGGCTTGTGCAGTGTATAGTATGATGAAGCTGCAGTCTTGACCAGAACCTCTGATTGTTATGGTATAAATAACTAACATAAAGCCCAACTAACAAATCATACAAACAAACAGTGTTCATAATACTTTTGGACAAATATTAAAATACATATACGTTTGATGTAAATATTAGGATTCTTGGTGAACGATTGTAGATTGGAACTCTTGACAGTCTCCATGTTAGATCTTCCATCAACTGCCAACTCAGAAGCCTCACTTTGTTTGTTTGTTTGTTCCAGACCTAAATTGTACATTTCCCAAGACAGTCATTAAGAATATTATTCCGAAGGCACTTTAGACTTCTCTAATGTATATATGTTAGTTGAGTGCATAAATATTAATCTTTATTATAAAAAACCTAGGTTATAAAGAGCCCTGACCATTTGCATCTGTGCCAAATTGTCAATAGATTTTTATTTTGATGGGTCTGACTCTTATTCTGCATAATTCAGAACTTTTGCCATATAAAAAATTGTGGCCATGATACAAGATTTCTATTTTAAATCTGTTAAGTAAAGCAAATTTCAGCCAAGTTTTCTTGGAGTTGAGAAAATAATGGTCTTAGTTTTTGTAACTGAACTATAAAGAATAATTCAGAACCATTTAGGTCAAACATCACATTAAGGACCAGAGTCTGTTCCCATTATTCACATTGATTTAAACCTCACCTGAATGTAGCCAAACTGAAATGTTAAAATCTGTAGGATGTCAAAACCTTCAAAATAACTATTTTAGTAAAATTAAATGAAAAACAAGAGGTTATGCAACTGAAACAAATGCATTTATGCAACACCATTCACTACCTGCTATTTTGAAACCATAGGAGAGGTACTCAACATGTGCAAAGATGCACAATGTGGTCCTAATATGCACACTAGATTTACATGAGATTATTCTCCTAAATATTTTGTCTAGCCATTATGATTCATCTTTTGAAAAGATGTGAAGGCAGTATGTGTGGTTATGAGACAGGATTCACAGCATTCCTTAAGACCTGACTCTAACTGCACAGTCTCCAGACTTTTGTCTTCACTCTAAAGGTCTGCCTACCACAAGAAATTTTAGGCAAAGGGGTGGGGGAAGTGAACAGTGTCTTCTTTCTGGAGGCCATTTCAAGATTTTAATCAAAATCTTTTGGGCCATTTTTTTTCCAGTTTTTTTGACAAAGTCAAGCTTTTCTACAAGGAAAAATATAAGTTTTCCAATTACATGAATTAATTACATCTCAGCAGATTAAGCCAGCAGGATATTTAAAATGCTACAATGCAGAGCAGACAGCTAGTAGTATAATTCCCAGTTTAATACAATTAAGATCCCTAATTTCTCAAAAGATATTGCTACAGTTCTAGCATTGATTCTCTCTTTCCCCTTTTGGATCTTGTCTGCCTTTAATTTGGGTTTCTGAGCCATCTGAATTTACATTTTTATCCGTAGGCAGATAGCATCTTCACCAAAGTCAGCCATAAGAAGCCAAAGGAGAAAATTAAGAGAAGATGCTCCATCAGATAGTTCTGAGACCAATACAGAGACTGAGCTGTGTCCATTTTGCCAGTTACATCCAACTCGTCTGCCAGTGCTGAGTGGTTGAGTTCCTCTTCCCTGATTTTCAATCCAGCCTTTCTGCTGCAGCTTTGGTGATTGATCCCTTACAGAGAATACACAATCTATGAGTTGCTTGCAAGCAGACCTCCCTAATGCATTGATTGGCTCCTAGAATCGCGATCTCCCTGTCAGTGCCTCCTCTTCTGTTTCTTCAGTAATATGTTAAGGTGTATGTTCTTGACTACCATGAGGAAAGCTGGAATATTCCTCATCCTACATCCACATTTTTCAACAAGTCCCACCTCCAAAAAAATTATTCTTAGCATCTAAAATCCCACCCCCTCTTGGAGCAATGATTTCCATCATTGTATCTGCACTTCCAGTGAACTACATCGTATCTATAGACTTGGCAGGCATATGCTTTTATATATCTGATCAGCAGCTGCACAGATACCACCTTAACTTTTGATACCTGATCTTCCATATAAGAGGTTCAACTGCTCATTTTTGGCCTATCCATTTTCCTAGAGATAACTGTGGCAGACATCTGGAAAAGAGGAATACCAGTTTTTCTGGTCATGGACAATTTTTTAATCAGAGGCAGATCAGATACACATACAATGTCCAGTCCTGAAAGCTACAGTTTTTCATCAGAATAAACAGCTGCACTACAAATTTTCATTTTAAATGGTTTCAAATATATGATTTGATCCTGAGTGTGAGATACTAACTGTAGAATTGAGAATGGAATTCATTCTCTCCACCAGTGACTCTCAGACTTTCCTGACTACTATATCATTTTCAGGTGTCTGAAGCCTGAGTCCCATTGCCCAGAGCTGAAGCATATAACTTAGCTTTATGCTGTGGTGTGGGGCCAGGGCAGTTTCTCTGCTTGCCATTCCATAACAAGAGCCCTGCACTTGCAACCTTCCCTTAGACTTCCCCTGGGTTAAGAAACATGGATATAGATGGGTTGACATACCACCTGGAAGACCTCTGTGTACCCACGGGGTGCCTATACCCCTTGCTGAGAACCACTGCTCTATACATATTCCATTCTGGTCCTCCCGCTGAGTCTGCCCATTAGTGATTGTTGTCATGGTGCCTCTTTGTATTCTGGACTACAGATCAAGGACCAGGAGATCACTTATTCTTTTTCATTGACAATCTTTCATGTATAATGACTTTCAGTTACTACTTAGATTGAAAACATGGTCCAGGAGGACACATGCTTCATATCCTACTTCCAATTCCCTGTCTCAGGGATTCCCCCAATTGGACTATCTTTTAAGCTATCAACAAATAAATGGATATGGTTAGTCGGAGAGGTCAGACAAGAGGAAGAGTATTTTAAGTAATAAAACACAGCAGAGTCTACAGGAATGTTGGTTCAGTCAGACCTCTGATATATTTCCAATGAACCTGAAGAGGGCATTTATCAAATGTGCTGAATCCTCTAAAGAATTTTGTTAAAATTAGAAAACAGAAAATCTAAGAAAAGTCCTCAATGTTTTAAATGTTTTATGCTATAGTCTATTGTCCATAAGCTGTATCCTTTCAGCATTTTCTAATCTTTTCTTTTCTTTCTTTAGGCTTTTTGGTATTTCTCCCCAATTTGCAGATTCCCTGTGCAGCCATAGATTCAATATGGCCAACCCCATGTAGTCACAAATGATGTTAGGCCTTAAAATCATGAAGATCTTTCTATCTGTGTTTTGTTTTTTGAGACCCAGGGGAATGCTCAAGGGTTGAAACATTTAGGGGCTTGAATTCTCCCCCCTTCCCCACAGTTGCTGAGCATTCACAACTTTACCTGACCTCTGTGGAAGCTACAGTTGTGCAGCAGCTGTGAAAAACAGGCCCAAGATGCCTGAATCTGGGTACTCAACATTATCGGACCCTTTTGAAAATTGAGACTGCAGGCACTTCCACGAAGTTGCCCTGCCCACTGAGGGATTGCCATCCTCAGGCACTTGCACTAAACTCCTAAATCTCACCTAATCTCCTTGGCAGGGCTAACCCCCACCTCCTTGCCAATCCCAGCCCCCAGCCCCCAGCCTCACAGAGGCATGAGCGGAGCGGGACTGGGGGCGGGAGGAAGCAGCACTCCGCACTCACTCCTGTTCTCGGGCCCCAGTGAGCGGAAGAAACTGGCTGCAGGGGCTGCCCTCATTCCCCAGCGCTGCCCGCTCCCCGGTTGGCCTGTGCCAGCCCCCAGGGAGGCGCGCTCCCCGCGTGGCCCTAGCGGTGGGGTGGGGGAGGGGGAGGGGG